CTACCGAGTCTTACACCTCATCGTCGAATTTTTTCAACTTATTGATACATGCACCTCTCGCGCAATGTAATTTCTACCTTAACACTTGCGTATTAAGGCTCAATGTCTTATGCTTTGCAGCTTAAGAAATCATTGAAGATGAAATTACAAAGTTATAACGTTTGAAAACATTAATATTTTTCACATGTTATTGCACATGAAGGCACTATATAATTTAAAAATCGAAAATAAATTGAAAAAATTTTTTTCGACTCGGGCAGGACTTGAACCGGCATCGTCAGCTTTCCGTGCTGTTGCTCTACCAATTGAGCTACCGAGTCCTACACCTCATCGTCGAATTTTTTCAACTTATTGATACATGCACCTCTCGCGCAATGTAATTTCTACCTTAACACTTGCGTATTAAGGCTCAATGTCTTATGCTTTGCAGCTTAAGAAATCATTGAAGATGAAATTACAAAGTTATAACGTTTGAAAACATTAATATTTTTCACATGTTATTGCACATGAAGGCACTATATAATTTAAAAATCGAAAATAAATTGAAAAAATTTTCGACTCGGGCAGGACTTGAACCGGCATCGTCAGCTTTCCGTGCTGTTGCTCTACCAATTGAGCTACCGAGTCCTACACCTCATCGTCGAATTTTTTCAACTTATTGATACATGCACCTCTCGCGCAATGTAATTTCTACCTTAACACTTGCGTATTAAGGCTCAATGTCTTATGCTTTGCAGCTTAAGAAATCATTGAAGATGAAATTACAAAGTTATAACGTTTGAAAACATTAATATTTTTCACATGTTATTGCACATGAAGGCACTATATAATTTAAAAATCGAAAATAAATTGAAAAAATTTTCGACTCGGGCAGGACTTGAACCGGCATCGTCAGCTTTCCGTGCTGTTGCTCTACCAATTGAGCTACCTGCCCGAGTCGAAAATTTTTTCAATTTATTTTCGATTTTTAAATTATATAGTGCCTTCATGTGCAATAACATGTGAAAAATATTAATGTTATTTTAAAAATCGAAAATAAATTGAAAAAAATTTTCGACTCGGGCAGGACTTGAACCGGCATCGTCAGCTTTCCGTGCTGTTGCTCTACCAATTGAGCTACCGAAATTTTTTCAATTTATTTTCGATTTTTAAATTATATAGTGCCTTCATGTGCAATAACATGTGAAAAATATTAATGTTTTCAAACGTTATAACTTTGTAATTTCATCTTCAATGATTTCTTAAGCTGCAAAGCATAAGACATTGAGCCTTAATACGCAAGTGTTAAGGTAGAAATTACATTGCGCGAGAGGTGCATGTATCAATAAGTTGAAAAAATTCGACGATGAGGTGTAGGACTCGGTAGCTCAATTGGTAGAGCAACAGCACGGAAAGCTGACGATGCCGGTTCAAGTCCTGCCCGAGTCGAAAATTTTTTCAATTTATTTTCGATTTTTAAATTATATAGTGCCTTCATGTGCAATAACATGTGAAAAATATTAATGTTTTCAAAGTTGTAAGACTAATAATATCGCAAGAGATACTTAGAGGTACAAATGTAAACATTTTATTGAATTTTTGTGGTTAGGGTCATAACGGTATATTGGAAAATTCAATTTCTGTATTACCCACATACTTGCCTTGAATACCGGATTTCGTAATTACGTAAGTAAAGCCGCGCGCATATTTCCACAAATTCGCATTAATTATTAAGAAGTATTGTTTCCTGCAAACGCGTTGAGATTTGTATCTACAATGTCGTGTTTGTAAGATAAATAATGTGTATGATATACGCCAGGTTCTCGGGGGGGCAATTCTTAAATAATGATAAAATATTTGACGGGGTCACTAATGGTAGCCATGTTGTCTAACATGTTCCTAATCAATTTACAAGTTATGTGAAACATGTCTGATTTCGTCTGGAAAATCTGGATATAAAATGGGGGGCAGAAATAACGTAATTCCGCCAAAGGAACGAACACGGTCCACAGATGAAAAAGTTAAAAGTTACAGTCTGTATTTCCGAATGTTCAAAGCCAAAGCCGGTCGATAGCTCATCTTGTTTAGATGTTATATTGGCGAGATATTTCACCTTCCATCAGGTGAACTCCATGCATACTTTAAAGTGACAGTTCAGCAATTTCATAATTACGCCATGATTGTCTGCTGTAAAGCATCCAAAACCTGGGATCATAATTAGGAATACACTGTCATAGTTTTCGGGTCTAGAACCGTTTAAACTGTGCTATTTAATAACGATATGAGAATTAATTGACAAATCGAAAATTTGTCATAATTTTCGGCTTATTCAACACTTAGATGAGAATTACCCCCCAATAGTCGTGACTGAGAATTTACACTGACGTAGAGATTCTTCGTAACTCTGTATTATTTAAATAAAACACTAATGGTTTAAAACGCGATATATATTGTTTAAAGCCGTGGTCATGGCTGCTGCAAAGCATCCGAAACGTCGGGCTGTAGTTAAAAAATAATTTTCGAGTAAGTTTAACCAAAATATATCGTGTTTTAAACCGTTGACCGCGTATTTATTTAAAAGTGTACCACTCGCGTAGACTACAGACAGTATTTAACTCTGTATTATTTAAAAAGACATAGAGTTCACGTCTACGAGACACTAGCTATTTTGTAGAAGTGGTTTTTAGAAAAATCGAAAAAAAATGTGTGTTCGGGATTCGAACCGGTGACAGGCAAAATCATGGCCGAGCACGCTTTAAGTGTAGGGCATCGAATCGTGCATGTATCTATTTTAAATTGAAATAAATAAAACTCTAGATTTGTATTATTACTTATAAGGATAAAAATATAAAACATTTTCCATACGGCTATTTCTTACTGACGTTCCGTACTAACACATTTTATTACTCACTCAAATTATATCGCTAACATCTAATATATCACTTCGAAGTACTTTTTCTAAAAAATACAACAATTAAATGTCCATTTACGACCTTGTCGTGTGCACATAATAGCTTAATTGTTTTTTTACAATCAATTATAATCAAATTGACCGCATTAATTGCAAATACATTGTAATTGTTATTGCGAACTATTTTTATTTAAAACGTTAATATTATACTGTAGTTATATTGTATTATTGAATTTGATTTTGGAACTGGGCTGACACATTTTTACGTCCGTTTTGTACATTCGGCGTGAGAGGTTCGAATTAAAGGGGATCGCAATTCGCTTAGACCACATAAATATATGTATGCCCCATGCCATGTTGGCATGTTTTTCTTCACTTTGGAAAATGCCTTTTGAATACGGCTCACCGATGAATTTGTGCTGTAGAAGGTTTCGAAGCCAGAAAATTGCTAAGCTAAGGGTCAAGTTTCCCTGACAGTTTTAAATGATATATTTAATACCAAGCTATTGACAAACTAGCAAAGCGGGATCGAGTCCCACCTGGTTAAAATAATTTTAATAAAAAATTGGATTTATTAAATTAGATTAAGAAATAATATTATAACCAATTGGTTGAAAATAAACGCTGTGGGTGCCGATGTGAAAAATATTAAATGAATTTGCCATTCATCAAATGTGTCAATATTGAAAAGGGTCAAAAATGGCTATAAATACATATTACAATCTAGTCCTACGTTAAGTTTTATTGTTACATAATGTAATGAAATTTCAGAGCACCCACGACGAAAGACTAAACGCCAGAGTCGACAACATGCTTGAAGAAGGCTTAATTCAGGAACTGCTAGATTTTCACGAAGCCCACAACAAGCAAAGGATAAAAGACGGAAAGTAAGTTCATTTTCTAATTGACAGAACATTTTGACGTTGACCCAATAGTTTCACGGCCTCGTTGGTGTAATGCTACTATTATATGTATGATTAATAATCAACAGGCCGTTGGTTCGATTCCCACCGGGTCCATCATGTTTAAATTTTCAATTTATTTTTTAAATTAATTTTCTCGTTAAATAATAATCTATAGAAGCCGAACGAGTGAAGTCACAGGTGCGTAGTCTAGTGTAAAAAGAAAAAGTTTCGGCCGCCGGCCTAACATCGATTGTGTCGCATCTTACGCTGCGGTTTTACGGCTTCTCGTCTTCCATGCGCACTGTTCTATGGAGGAAATGATTTTGATACTTTACTGTGCCCAGATATGGAAATTAAAGGTGTATAAATAAAACATTAAGAACCTTTGATAACTTTAATAATTTAAACACGTTCTAAATGACATATAAATTAAAAATCGATTTTAAATTGATAAAAATTACGAGCAGAACTTGAATTAGCCTCCACAGCGTTCCGTGCTGTTGCTTTATCCAACTGAACTACCGTGTGCGTGTCGTATTTTTCTTTCAGTCTATATTCGATTTTTAATTTAAAAAACCTTTATTCACACTTAAATTTTTTACGATACAAATATAATTATAAAAAAGAATACTACTGTATAAAGAAACAATGACTCATTCAAACAGGAAAAGAAATTGTCATGAATCCCTTATAAAGTTTCCACTTTGTCTCCCGGTGACCACGGCTGCTGCAAAGCATCCGAAACGTCGGGCCGAAGTTAAAAATCATTTTCAAATATGTTTAACTAATATATCGCATTCTAAACCGTTAAAGTGTTTTATTTAAAAGTTTCCACTGTTTTTAACACCTTGTCTATTAAATAAAGACTAATTTAATATTTTTTTCAGTATTTAATAAAGACTAAAATTATACATACTTAAAAAAAATCATTAAAATCTTTAGACCAACAGTTTAGTCGCTTGTCTAAGAGTTTTTTGCCCCAAAAAAACGGTTCTATAAATCTTTTGAAAGTATTAAAACTATTCGTTCTGTACTGTACTGTGCATGGGCACAGTAGTCAGTGTAGTAACCGCAAAATCTTTCTCGTCTCACGCGGATTGTCTTAGATAACAATACGTATTTAACGCACCTAGTCACGTATTAAGTAAATAAAGAAACAAACAATATTTACGATTGATAGCGTAAAAATCAAGCATGGGGCGTCACTGAAAATTCCTACTTCCAGGTGCAACAAAAGCTGAGTGGCATCCCTCCACCTTTTCTGTATTATTTTGTGTGTGTGGAATAAATGATTTAATTTTATTTCTTAAAGTACTAACAAAATAATGACACAATACTATTGATAAAAATTGAACTGAAAAAGTATAGCCACTGGCATGTCTATTATTTATAGAAAACCCTGTTAACAGTTTAAAACGCGAAATATATTACTCAAATACTGTCAGTAGTTTACGCGAATAGTACACCTTTAAATAAAACACGTTAACGGATTAAAAATCGGAATATGTTTGTTACACTTATTCAGAAATTTTTGGGCGTAACTACGGCGCCACGTTTCGGACGCTTTGCAGCAGTCTACCGTGAGTAGGAAAAATAATAATTTGTAATTAAATTTAACAAATATATTTCGCGTTTCAAACCGTTATTCTTTTTTATTTGAATACTCAACTTATTTTTTATTTATTTTAACTACGTACATCCGAAACGTCCTACCTACATAATGTTTGAGTAGGTTATAATTCGCTGAATGTTTCGTCGTTTAGCTGATAAAGTAAACACGAAATAATGAGAACATGTCTACCGTCTCAGAACAGCATCTCAACAAAAAATTAAAAGTCATTCATCAGAGTGTGTCCACAAAAAACGAGCCTTCGGATTTACTTTTTGCCGCCGATCCATTCACTTCTAGCTTTTTGGAATTTTACCGTATTCTGTTTACACACTTCATAGCTGCCTCGTTCGGTAGTCGGAACGTCAGTTGAGTTGGTTTTTAAATATACCAATAGTTGTAATGAAGAATCTATATTCGGGGACGTTCTGATTTGACCCACAGTCGATTTTGTAAAATACGCCTTGTATTTTTCAAAAGTGACCGTAGAATTTACGAATCGAGTTGGCATAACATCCGATTTTTAATTAAATTAAACGTTATAGTTGGGATATGTTTGTCTGCCCTGGAAATTGTACATTTAATGACTATAGATTTGAATCATAGTCTATACTAATATTATAAAACTGAAGTGTTTGTTTGAAAGCGCTAATGTCAAGAATAATCGCATCGAATTAAAAATATTTTTGTGCTGGTTAGAGAATTTATCGAGGAAGGCTTTAGGCTATAAAAGGCCACGAACGAGCGAAGAAACAGTAGGAAATGTGGAAGGAAGTAGTTTACGCGAACGAAGTCGCTGGCACAGCTAGTTCAAAATAAAGATTCGGGGACTTTAGATTAGTCAAGACTCGGTATTTAATTATTGGATTAATATGTATGTAAGTGATTCTTTACACTATATGCATACAAACATACAGCAAAAGCAGTAACTGTTGAAAAATTTATTTTTTGTTGGTCATTTGCTTTATTATATAAAATTTAAATCGTTCTATGATACCTATCCGCATTTGGTAACTAGCAATGTCAACGTATGATCGTGCAAAATCAAAGTTCAATAAACTCCGTTATGTAATTCAAAATTGTAAATTAATTATTGCGTTTCAAAACGGTTGCGTAGTTGATTCTTGTCGTGTTTTTTGTCTATTTGACTTATAGTTTATTGACTTAGGTGGGCCTTTGTGTGACCGGATTTAAAGATATAAAACTAAGGCATAAATATAAATTACAATTTAATGTATAGGGTATCAAATGGCTTTAATTAAAGTTACACGCGTGGTTTTATAGTAATTTAAATGCCTCCTAAATTGTAGTTGTGCTTAAATCGAACGCTTGTCTATTTAAGGAAAGAAGTAATAGGACAGGTTTAACAACATCGACCACGAGATGTCGCTTTCAGGCATAGTGTTCTATGTAATATATTAATTATTGTTTATCTAATAATAACTGTATTGGTGCTAGTCTTTTAATCGCGTATAATTATTTAGTATTTATTTTGGTTTATAATGAATTCAACTTCTTGATTAAAAAAGTTAATTTCTTTTTTTTTTCAGGCAGCCAGACTACACCAAAGGCGTATTTCAAACTTTAGGTTTTAAGGAGTTTCATGAATATCTTATGCTACCAGAAGAAGAGAAAAATTTAGAGGGTGGAGCCAAATTGCTAAAACAAAGTATAGAGAATATGAAAATCGGTACAAGAAGATACGCTAGGCGTCAAAATAAAATGGTTCTAGGAAGATTTTTGGAGATTCCAAGGAGAGAGGTACTACCCGAAACGATTACATTGTTCGATAGCGCCATCTGCTGTTGAGTAGCAAAATTATTGGTCATATTAAACTTATAGTCAATAGATGGCAATAGTTTCATTGAAACAAAGCATATCTAGCTTGTAAGATGGCGCTGCCGTACAACTCTTAGTATATAATTGTATAGTCTATTCATTACTAAAATTAGAATTTTTCTTACAAAACCGTTCGTAGTCGCATTATAAATTACCATACAAATATCTGATAATAATACGTAGTAAATCACAGAATGCTGAACACGTTTTGAATAGGTTTTTTTGTAATTATTAAATCTTAAATATGTTTTTACTTCCCAGGTACCGCCCATCTACGAATTGGACACAACAGACTTAAGCAAATGGGACCAAGAAGTAACAATTAAAGCTATTGATATTATAGAAAGTTCTATAGCTAACACTCCTTGTAAATATGAATCTTTAACACCGAAATTACATGAAGAAAAAAGTAACATAGACGGTCATTCGTCGAACTATTGCGAAGTTTGCGAAAGATTAATAATAGGTGACAAAGAATACAAAATACACTTGTCTTCGAATAGACATAAGAAAGTTCTTAAGAAAAAAATTCAGTTAGCTGAGAAGGAATTGGGCATAGCCTAAATGCTAGGAAATTCCTAATCTATTTCTCCTTCTTGGAAAATCTTATCTATTTCTACTTAAATACCATTCTATATCAATATTTAAAAAATACTAAAACAAAAAAAGCTTTACTTTAATATGGCTTATGCAACTGAAAGTATTGCAAAAGTCTTATTAGATTAGTAGTTGATGTGTTATCTGACATAAAATTTTCCAGTTGTACATGATTACTCCGAAACGGCTATACTGATTTTAACGAAATTTTAAATAAACATTTTTTGTTTGGCCTGACATGAGGATGTTTTTTTCTTGCGTCTCACTTATTCTATTTATATCCTCACATGCTCACAATAAGTTAGGTAAGTTTTTCTACCGAAATATTATTTAGAAATTATATGTATAGCAAAACAAGGGACTGGTTTAGCGAATTTAAATCTATCATGTACCTTTAGCAATTACTAAAATTCAAGACATAGGTTTTCAAATTGATGTGTGACTGGTACTTTTTAGTTACACGGAAGCTGTCATAGTTTTTATCTTCTAACAGCCGCACAGTAACAAGTTATATATTTCAGCTAGTGCTAATTAATTACTCAAACTGTAATACACATGTGTATGATAGATGACGATTTTTTTTTTTTTTGTACATTTGTAATCAATCATGGGTTGAGCTTCAACTCAATCACTTTTGAGTTCTAATTGTTTTTACACAATACATAAGAATGAGGAAACAAAAATAAAAGATATTAATTTTCCTTTATTTTTACTATATTTACAAAACTAAATAACCAAAAAATACTATTCAATAAGTTCCTCTTCTACATTTGTTTGAGGTTTCTTAGGTGCTCTGTGATTGTAGTTTTCAAATTCAGGATACTTCTTTATAATTTCACCGTATGCATCACAAAGTCTAGAAAATTCTCCATTTGCTATCTGAAATGGCCGGGTGACAGGATCTATTTCAGCCATTTTAAGCATAGTTTTAGCCATTTCTTCTTTAAAATCTTCAGGGAATAAAGTTTCAACACCACGCAGACAGTATTTTTGCCTCATTGAAAATACCTGGCGCACTACCTTTTCCACAAGTTTAAAATTTTGACTCATCACTGGTCGTTTTAATGGTGTAAGAGTGACAACTCCAACGTCAACATCAGGCTTTGGAAGGAAGGCAGCACCAGAAATATCGAATTTATAGTTTACATTGCACCAACTCTGGCACATAACTGATAGTCTACATCTTTGCTTATCTAAGATTCGGGCAGCCATTCTTTCTGCTACCTCTTTTTGAAATGTCAAAGTCATTCTTGTGCGACCAAATGCCCATGGGCCTTCCTGCTTTGAAATCATTTCCAGCCATCTTATGATCAAAATTGTTGATACACTAAATGGTAGATTTCCAATTAAGTTGACTGGTGGTGGGACATCTTCCCATTCAGTTTTGACATCTGTAGGAATAAAATGTGCAAGGTCTGTGGTAAGAATGTCACCTCTTATAATATCCATGTCAACTTTGTCCTTACAGGCATCAGCTAGTAGTTCTAGTGAAGGAATGAAGCGGTGATCTTTTTCGACTAAAATAACTTTCCGAGGCGCTTGTTTGATAATGGAACGAGTTATACCACCTGGTCCTGGACCTACTTCACATACAATATGGTTTTCAATATTGCCGGCGGCGCGCACTATTTTATCTATTAATCTCGGCTCCATTAGAAAATTCTGTGATAACTCTCGCAATGCCCGTAATTTATATAATCTAATGATGTCTTTGATGCTGGGAAGAGGTGGCAACCTTATCTGCGCGGCTTGTCTAGCTGCAGCCATTATTGTTGTATTTTAGCAGGCTCCTCGAAATCGTCTAAGAAAGTCTCCTGCTTTACAGCGAAGATGGAGTACAAGTAAATACCGAACACTCCTGCGCCAATAGAAAGCCCAGTTATCCTGTTTCTTTTTGCTGTTTGCTGTAATTTCGCTACTCGCTCGCGATTCTTCTGCTCTATTATCTTCATGTAATCCAATTCCGCCTTTTTTAATACTGGGTTTTGCTCGCCAGATGGGATTTTTGGGTTGAAGTTAGAATCTCCCATTACGGAATATTTCCTATTTGTATTTCTAACCTCTGAAGCCAAAGATAGGATTGAAATTCAGTTGCAATTTCCATTTGTCAACAATCTATTATTTGCTTAGTGTCAATTGTCTAAAGCAGTTACAGATTACACATTATTTTTCGGCGATAAGACAGTTTTAGTTATGTAGTACTAAGCATAGACAAAACTAAAGATAAGAAATAGATGAATGAATGAATGATTTCAGTGTAAAATATTTTTAGATTATTCATTATTTTCGAGGTTTTGTGTGAATTTGACATTATTTATTTAATTAAAATAAGCTCAGAAATATTAACAAATGGCTTTAAACGTACAAAAAGGATCAGTGAGGAATAATAGTGCAGCGCCATCTAATAATTACTGAGCTAAGTAATTATAATATAAACAGCTGTTAGTGACGTTTACCGCCCCAGATGCCATGCGCGCATTAACAGTGTCCCTCTCTTTCTAAACAAAGCCTTTCGTTCGCACTTGTGTATTTTCTTCGTGAAACTGCAATTGCCAATAATTCTCGTCTCGCTTTGTGGAAGTTTGCTCGTGCGTTTCGTTACGTTTACGGAACTTTGTGTATTAAAAAATAATGCCTTTTATATCGAAAGACTGGCGTTCGCCTGGTGAAGTGTGGGTGAAAACGCAAGAGGGCTGGGAGAAGAAGAAGGTTCTTGAGTGCACAGCACAACGGTGAGTGCGTTGCAAAACAAACTCCTTTGTTCTCGTTTTATTAGACGCAACTAAGAGCACGCATTTCCTCAACAGTTACTCAACAAATGTAATTTCCTTGCCTTAATGCTTGTAGTGGTATTGTTTTGGAATAACCGAGCTTTTGTCTTGCAGATACGCCGCCATATCTAACTTTAATAACTCAGACGGAAAAGAACAGAAATGGTGAGTCCATGCATAATTCATTATATTCTGTAAACAGACCTAAGTCAATCAGCTGTTTGTGTTGTCATATTGTTATTGATTTTAGTGCGAAGTTCGCTTGTGTGAGTGTCCTTGCTTGAATGTAGATCCAATAGGAACAAACTATCTATATATATATCTAAATAGGTATCTGTAACAAAAATATCTATTTAATACATTTATAATTATTTCAAAATCATAAATATAAGTAAATTTCACGTTTGTAAAGAAGTGTCTTGAAAATTACTACAGTTAAAATTTATGACTTGTTTTCTTACCTACACATCCTTACTGTTTACTTAATCCTTATAGAAACAAAACAGTACCTATATATTTTGGAGAGAAAACATGTCCCACTGCTGGGATTCGGGTTTCTTAAGCCTTTTAAGACTTGTAGTTCCAAATTAATCTTCTAACTTGTATTTAGGTTTAGTGCAGAAATACGGAGGAGGCTTAACGTCCGATTTTATTACCGAAATTTAAAAATTTAATGTTGTGACCTCTTTTGACATAAAATAAAATTTATTTTTTATAGGCATTGCGATTTAACAAAAAAACGGTTATAGATTTTACCTCACGAATAATTTCATTTTTCTTTCGATATTAAATTTGTCATTTAAGGACAATTACATTTTTTACGCGTGTCTTGCATTTGGTCGACTTTTCTAATACACTTACCTACTTATTTACAGTTTCTAGAGATAATAAGTTTATTATTTTATTAAACATCGCAATTTACAATTCTCTTGAAGTTATATTGTAACGGTCAATATTTGAAACACGTAAAATATCTGAAACTTTTATTTATTCAAAGGTACCTACATTTATATTCAGAAAAATGTGTTCTCATAACTAATTATTCCGTACGATACATGACACCACATCTAGGTAGTCAATATGTTTACAGAAAGGATTGCTAAGTAGGTACTGAAATATTTCTCTATTTTTTACTTTATATCAGTACAAAAAAAAAATTCCTCTCTAAAAGCAGTGTTCATGAACATAACATCTTATTTATTGTGCGCAACATATGGCATATTTCCATAGTGTGTAGTACCTATATAAAAATTGCAGAGCTGTGTTTCATAAAATGAAGCATATAGGTTGGAAAATCGTTATCCTCCGATTGAAAGCACTGCGATGACGGGCAGATGAAATTGCTAGGTATTCGTGAATGTAGGTCAGACTATGAACACGGCCAGATATTGTTAGGAAATCAATTTTGTTGCTCAACCACAGATACCGAAATATTTCGCTAGTTTTGAAAACGGCTCGGGGCTTTATAGGACTGTGGTAAACAAGCATTTGTTTCGCTTCGGTTCAAATTAATTATCTATATTATTTTTATGTAATAGAATATAGATAAACAAGAAATAATAATCAAACAATACATTTAATAAATAAATTACTTAAAAAAAACGACGTAATCGTATTTTATATTTATACTTACGTGCTACGCTTGTTTTTATATACCTATGTTTGTGATAGTTACACTAAACGACTATTTTTGTCTATACTATCTACTATATAACAAATAACTACAAGCCACGTCAAAGAAACATATTAAGCTTATTTTTACTTTTATTTTAATAAAAAAAAATAATACAAAATGTGGTCTAAAAAACTTTGGGTGGTGCATTATTTCATTTTAAAGTCTTACAATTATGAAGTAGCGGAGGTAAATTATTTTAAATTAATTTTCTTCATAAGGACGGGGCCATTAACTTGTAAAGCTCTTAACCAAATCAGGAAACGGCGGATGACTCAAATACCTTCGCCAGACCGGAGGGTTTGGTTAATTTTAACTTTGAGACATCCTTTTAGTATAAATAGACATAATAAGTAAATACAGAGATTTTGTCTCTGTTCATTCGTTCTTCTGTTTATGTTCACCGAATGTTTACAAATACCCATTTTCGATCTCCATCAATTTATTAACTATTTATATCTTGTCTTTTACACTCACCTATTACACTTTATACACATACTCACCCTAATATTGTACATAATAACTACATAGTTTTTGTTTAAGGCTGTCACGAATTAGTTAAACGACTAGACCAATATTCATAGATGTTTCGCTACTACGAAATAACGTAGTATTTTTTTTTAAATCATAGATGAGGTCAGATAAACATGGGATTCATGTGATGGTAGGTGAGATACCCCAGCCATATCTAAACAGGTCCTGGTGTGAATGTCGACCTATTTTGACTTTGAAAATTCGGTTATCCACAGACTGAAACCGAAGCGGTTTAAACTTGACGGCTTTTTATCAGAACCGAGGGTTCTAGAAATGATATTTATTATGTTATAATCAAAAGCGGAACCAATTTACTATTATAAATATATTAGCATATGGCAAAGAGACAGTTGTCTTAATGCAGGAATAATCTAAGTTATGTTAGAGAGTGTGTAAATGTCATTTCCCTGGCTGTACTTAATTGTAGAAATTTAATTGATCGTGTGACGTCACGCTTAAGCTGTGTTCAAATGAAAGTAACACGATTAAGAGTAATGCATACACATAATCTTATATTACCTAGAATTATTTCTAGTCGACGCTTATATTAAATTGTAAGGTGTCGCTACGGGCTGTCACAGTGCGAAGACATGAAACCCGATATTATCCATCTGTTGAGGCATTATCTTTCACACGACGGATCTAGCATGTTTATAAACGTCTAAAGTTTATTTAGAAACATACTGAACTGTTGCGAATCGAATCTACGAAGCGTTGGAAAAATTTAACCTTGAATACCATTTGTTAAAAACAAGAACAAAAAGTAATATCCCGTTACACAATACGCCCATTGCTTAACACACAAAGAAGACAAACACTTATTCTATATTTCCTCAAATTTAGTACCTGTCGACAGCACTGATCCACGTCACTTCAAATGATATGTTTTAAAACGTAATTCAAATAGAACTCCGTCAGAATCGTTCGAGCGTAGCATTGTTCTTTCGCAAATGAGAAAAGCCTTTTTCCATTATTTTCTTTGAAAAGCCCCGCAATGTAACTGAGCTTTCATTGGGGTTAACCTTGCCACTCTGACCTTAATCCTACTGCATTTTCCGTGGAGTTATTGCGTTGCGAGTAAAACCGAGGAATTAGTCCACTAATTGCTTGGTAACAAGCGGTACTGCTCTCATGGGGTGCCGTACCCGAAGGCCAAACCGTCGCAACCGTTTTAAGCTTACAAAATATAAAAAAGGGTAAAAACGGAACTACAGGATCAGATGATTACTCGCTGTCTGTATATCAAGAACCGTGTTAGACAGTTGACATTATACCGTGTTTAACAAACAATAACTTTGGTACCTAAAATGTACATTTTAATGATAGAACCTCTTCTATCTGTCCTCACAGACAAGCACGGCTCACTTGATGGTTGGTGAGTATTTCACCCAGAAATATAACAGCTAAACATGATGCAATGTCAATCTATTTTAGCTTTGAAAGTTCGGAAATCCACAGACTAAACCCGGTGGAGATTGACCCTCGACCCGTTGATATAGTAGTCATACAATGCTACTATTACGGGCCCATCAACTTTTGCATGTGTAATTTTAATATCTTCATAAAAATCTATTTTATTACACATAAACCCAACTCCATCAAATTTACTCTGCCGCGCCTTAAACGATAGACGTCAATCTATTTATATATTTGACGATAATTCACCCCATAAAAGGGAGTGTATCATTCTGACTACGATATTACAATAGATATATAACCCGTTTAGCCTATAAAGACCCTTACAGCATTCGTAAAAAGTATTATTATTATGGAGACAATGAAATCCTACGTGGGGAATAAAGTGGACATATTTCTTTGTCCGTTTCAACTTTTTACCTTCATTATACATGTGACCTTCGTTACAAATGTAACATATGCAACTCAGTTTCTTCCAGGACAAAACAAACTTGGTTGAAATAAACAAAAATTTTACAATTTAAAAATTTTAATTTAACTTCGGCCCAATATTCCAATTGCTTTGCAAATTAAATTAAAAATAAGCTAACGAATATATTTCGTTTTTTAAACCGTTTAAACTGGTTATTTTAAATTTGTATACACTCGTTAACTACAGACAATGCTAAACTATGTTTATTCGGAAAAGAGTTCTTGTTTTACACACCCTACAACTAGGTCCTATAGTTAAACGTCAATATGAAATTCAAGATGGCGTCCGCAAAAAAAGGTTTTTTCATACTTCATTCTTTTGTTTGATTTTTTCAGCGTAGATAACATTTTTATCACGTATTTGGACCACGACCGAAAACCAGGTCAGGGTCGAATAGTAGGCCAATTGAACGGGGAACGGGAATTTAATTTGCGAACTGATGAAGCGGACGCCATTCGTTTGAAAATTAATTAATCAGCGCGTACGAATAATATTTATTCGGCGGTAATTGGTTACAATTGTACCTACGCGAATAAATGAATTTAATGAATCATTAATTATGTGGGTAGGTGAATTGATTTGCGTCAAAGCATTCTCAACTCTAAGTTTAATTTTAAGTGCCTTCAGTGTTATCTGTAGATTACATTAAGAGTGGACATTTAAATAGACTTTGGATCTTTGAAATGTCGATAAACATTTGTATCATATTTACTATAACACTAGATCCCAAAAGACGGCACACCGGTAAACTAGAAACCCAATGACCACTTACTACACAGATGGGGTAGAAAATTTTACTTTGATATTAGGGACACCCCACGAACTTCAGTCTCCCCGTGACATCTGAAATGTCGGGCCGAAGTCTTAGGGCTTTGTATTTCGTAGTATGCCTGAGGACTGATTCAGATAGTGTGTATAAGTAAAATAAACTTGTCGTAGCCACCATCCTCAGATGAAAAAGCCGTCAAGTATAATCGCGTTTCGGTTTTAGTCTGTGGATTTCCGAATATCCAAAGACAAAACAGGTCGACAGCGTATCTTGTTAAATGTTATATGGCTGACGTATTTCAG